ACTTCTTCCTACCTGGCCTGGTTCAACAACTCATTGACCATGGGATTCCTGTGCTCTCAGTCTATAAATCACAAGCACCCCTTCCCTCCTCCATGGTGGGGGCTAGCCAGGACGTCACTGTCCCTTCAATTTTGCATGAAAGAGTGGAAGTCCATGAAGAGTCAAAGATGTAGGCATGGACACTGCAGGACAGTGGAACTCTGCATTAGATCTACTTAAAAGATACTGTTTTCTTCCCTTGCTCATCACTGTCTCACTAAGATGACATATATGTCACATGTGAGCAGAAGGGTCTTACAACCCTCCTTTGTAGCAGCCACCACTGCATCCTGGGAGTGGGTGGCCAGAAGCTGAAGTGGGGTGCTGCCCTGGCGAGGGGGAGGCAGGGAGCCCAAGGGAAGCAGTGCTAAGCATTCTCACAGCCCTTGATCTTCCCTGTTACTATCCTGGGCCATGCTAGGACTCTGTGGGCAGATCATGTGGTCTCCAGGGCTCTCCCAGTGGGTCCAGGTGAGAAGCCAGGATCCCAGAACACAGACCCCCAGGAGTCTGGTAAACTGTTGGCGGCACAGAACAGGGCAAGTAAGCCCAGTGATGGGACAGGCAGAGCCCCCACAGAAGCAGCAGAACATGTCAGCAGCTCCTCTGGGCTTAAGTGAACCTTCGAGAAACAGGCATCGAGTGGAAAACACCACCCTTGTATCAGGACACCCAAGCACACTTACATCCCTTTCAGTGCACAGCGTTCTCAAGAACACAAACTAAAAGGATTCGAGGTATGAGAAAGGAATGAGAGAATTATATCTTTTAATATTTCCACAATATTTGAAGTGGGTTTGTAGAGTGAAAAAAAGTAGTCAAGGTATTTTTTTTCTAAATCACTGCTTAAGCAGCTCTAAACACTTAGAAGAAAAACAACCCAGGACAGAAATATAATAGAGACTGCACACATTCATGAATCTGACCCCTAACAAGCTTAGCTTGGGAGGTATAGAGCGTTTCCTACATTAGAAGCGTAATTATAAGTTGTTAAAATGCCCACTTGATCACAGTACAGAACATTTTTATGGCTTCACTTGAATGCTCACTTAAGAATTTTCTCTGAAATGTACTCAGAGCAGAGACAGTTAAACAATAAAAGTGAGGTATTTGTAAGACCATAATACTAACTCAGGAATAGTTGCGGTAGAAACCACTGCCCCTGGCTCAGCCTTTCTGCGTGTTACGTTTGTTTGTTCATTTCTTATTTTGGGGGTGGTAAGTTTTGAATGAAGGAAGGATGGTCTTTCAATGCTCACGGGAAGGAGTGCCAGAATTTTCTGCCTTTCTTTCCATGCGAAGCAGGCCTGTGAGGGACTAAGCTGTACCTTTCTCCTCCAGATGTCCCTGGCTGCTTCTGATGTGGAATCTTGGCTCTCTCTGCTGTCCTTTAAACTCTTGGACATTGGTGAAATCTTGTCATGGGGTCTTTCTTTTAGTCAGAGTTTGTAGGGCTTCTGAGCCCATCTGTCCGAACCCTCCACATGCTGACATGGGTAGTTGTGGTATGAGACAAAGGGTAGTTTGAAGGCATGAGACAGAGGAAGGGTTGACTTAAGACAGTCACTCAGCACCCTAGTCTCGATGTTTCTTTCTTGGTGTTTCCCCTGAGAATTCCTACTTAGTGTTTCCATGACGCAGCAGTCCTATTTGGTAGGAAAACCAAGGAGTATGTGTAGATCAAACCTCCTGTCAGTAAGTACATTCCTCCCAGCAAGTGCCCTGGTGTGGGGGACATTGTTCCAGAAACTTCCCACCCTCAGTCTCAGGGGCAGGCCTCTCGGGGGATGACCCCTTGGCCAAGAAACTTTCCAGACCTCAACCTCTGTTTTTCTTTCTTTCCACAAAAAACAGCCTGATTAACCTTAACACACAGGGTCATGGCATGGATTTCTTGAGATCCTGCTTATAAAAAAATCACATTTAGTGTCCTGGAGACAGATCTCACCACAGGTGAGACCTTTTCTTTAGTTGTCTGTCTGTGTGGTTCAAGCCAGCAAAGAGGCTGATGGGGGGTCCTCTTCCAGGCTCTATGCTGACCCTGGCAGTTTAACAAATAAGTTTGGATGAAGAAACAAAGGAGAGAACCTGACCTAAAAGAATGCCACAAAAGGGTGGTTCCATTTCCGAAAGGGACTTCTCCAGATTGAAAAGCTCTTATGGCTTATGGTAAATCAAAAGTTTGAGACCTTGCCGGCCTCTCGGACTCTGTGGGGAAGAATCGGAGGGATGTTTTGAAAGGCAGTGACCATTTCTAGGACATTTCAAATCCTACATCATAGTTTTCCCCGTGATTGCAAAGTCGACATCGCTTACGTGTATCTCCCTTCTCTGTAGCTGATCGACTGCAGGTCTCTGCTCGTCTGCGTAAGCCTCAGGTGTGAGGCTTCAATCACTAATTCGCTGTCTTGCTTTCTTAGCATTTACATGAATGAGATAAATCTTTGCTTGTATTCATTTGTAGAAAATATGATGTATTATATTGGCATTTCTGAAATGTTTGTAGGAAAGGTTTGTGATAAAACGTGGGAAGATCCACTCTCCTAGATGAGGGAGAACTTTCTTGTAAAGCTTTGTCTAATGTCTGTGAAATAATCCAGAAGAGAGGTGGCAACAAGCAACCTTGCTTTACAAAGCAGACAACAGCAACAACCTTTCCTGCTCTTCATCAGTTACATGGATTGATTCCTGGGAAGGTGGGAGTGGTTAGGGGAGTGGCTAGAGGAGGGGTTAGAGGAGTGGTTGGAAGAGGGGTTAGGGGAGGGGTTAGAGGAGGGGGTTGAGGTTGTGAGCGAGGTGCTCTAAGCCAAGGTCCTGACTCAGGGATTCATGAGGAGGAAACCCTCCACAAGCAAGAACATCACCATCATTACCATTTTGTGAATACTTTGGTAACGTATTTTCTCCTCTCTTGCGTACTTGGAAAGTTACTTCAAAAATCTCAGGAGCACCCAGCTGGCTCAGTCGATGAAGGCACCAACTCTCGGTTTCAACTCAGGTGATGATCTCAGGTCCTGAGAACTGGTGGGCCCAGGCTCACCGCTCAGTGGGGAATATGCTTGTCCTTCTCCCTCCCTCCTTTACTCCTCCCCCTCTGCACCCCCCCAATAGATAGAGTCTAGAAAACAAAATTTTCAGTTAATGTAAATTTCACGAAGTTTTGGAAACCGATGGTCTTCTATTACATAAGTGGCCAAACACCATCGGAAATGGATTGCGAGGATGCATAGTAAAGCTCCTCTGTCACGGGGGGAGGCATGGTCCGTAGTTGTGTGCACACAGGCTTCCGAGGGAGAGCCCCATCATAGGAGTCGGCAATGCAGGATACCTGTCCTCAGGGCTCCCTCACCACTCCCCTGTTCACACTGGAGCGTTCACGGCCCCTGCCATGGTGTTTGTCACAGCCCAACAGCAACAGCTGCTGGGCATCTCTCAGTATGGGATGGGCTTGGTCTCTGGGTGTTTCTGAGAAGGCCTTGCTGTCTACAACATGGATGATAATAAGTAATGGTATCATGATAAGCAGAAACTTAGCCCCTGCCCCTGTGAGTCTCTGGCAGAGATCTCTGTGTAGGGTCGTGCTGAGGTGTCTCTGTGGAGTCTCTGTATGGGTCTCCATCAGAAGTCTCTGTGTTGGGTCTCTGTGTGGGGTCTCCATCAGAGCGATGTATGGGGGACCCTGGAGGACAATGTTGGGCTGGGAGCGGGACACGCGGGGTGGGGGGGCCTTCTAGACTCCACCCTCCTTCTGGACACATCCCTTCCAGCCGGGGATGGGAGAAGCCCCACTTGAGGGCCTCCTGCCCCTCCGGGCTCTGGGGTAACCAAGATCAGGAACCAGGCCAGTCCCTTGGCCTCTGAGTCCCCACCAGTCCCCTGGGAGCCATCCTTGGGCCACACGTGTACTTAAAAGTCACAGACCACAACTCCGTCTGGGGCCCCCAGTCCTCAAGCTTATCAAATTGTGCAGAAATTAACTTCTCTGCCTGAAGGCCTTGCTGCCTCTGGGCACCTGGCCGTCAGTGTGGGAGCTCAGGTGGCTTCTGTACAACCCCACCTCATTCCCTCCAACCCCCCACCCTGGAATTGGCAGCTGGAGTAGGGTGCAGACCCTGCGGGAACAGCCCCAGGGCCTCTAACTTCTTTCATCTTGGCCTGTAGGTGGCAGTGGGACACCAAGGGTCTTCAGTGGTCACATCAGGCATGGGCACACTCCATCACTTGGCCTCCTTCCTGGCGTCCCACTCTAAGTGCAGGGCTCCCCTGCCCACAGCCACACTCCCTCAATCCCCCAAGAGGGGAAGGGGGTGCTGGTGGGCAGGCCCCTTCAGTGCCCTGGGCCTGGGCAGGCAGGTCCCTGAGGATCTCTGTGGCACCCCCCCCCCCCACACACACACCCTCAGCGCCGGGAGTGAGCTCATCCCTTGCGGCTCCAAGTGTGAGAAGAGGGGCTGAGGGAGCTAAGATGGGATTCCCTGGGGGTGAGAAGGCTCCTGGGGCGGCCCTCCTCTATTCACACCTCTGATTTCTCACCTCTGCCCTCAAGGCCTGCCTTGTGTCTCCCAACTGCAGGCCCCACTCTGACCTAGGATTCTGTCTTCCTGAAGCCTGAGCGGGATTTCTGCCTCAGCAAACCCTCCCTAAAGCCACACAAGCTCCACGTAGAGGGAAAGCAGGAGAGAATGGGTAGAGCGAGGTCCCGGTCTGGGTCTTGTTCACCTTGTCGTGGAAACTGAAGGAGAGGGAGGAAGGGGGTGGGGTGGACCCCGAGATAACCTGTCCTCCAAGGCCCCATTCATTCTGGAAGCCAAAGCAGGTCCTTGGGGAGAGCAGACCCTGATCCTTCTCTCCCACCACAGCAGGGCACACACAGAGGCTAGCACCATTCATGAGGAAAAAAACAAACAAACAAACAAACATTTATTTTGGGGAAGCAAAGTAATTGTGGCACGGAGAAGATATTAGCCCATAGAAGATGTGCTAATGTGAGAAAAAGAAGATTTTCTCTGCACCGTTTGCGTTTTTTCTTGGAGGAAAGTTGTCCTGCCAGGAAAGGCATGAGAAGCACACAGTGGCTGGCCAGGTGAAATGTCTCTTTGAAGGAGGCAGTGCCTGGGGCAGTGGGCCTGCAGGATGCGGCCTGAAGGGCCCGGCACCAGTGACCTGTTCTGGCAGGGTCTGCTTGGGCACTCTGGCACCCTGGTGGGGAAGGGCCACCCAATCCACTCGGTCTTGTTGGCATAGTTGTGGCCCCTGGGGGTGCCCTGTGGACTGGCTGTCTCCCTCATCACTCTCCTCTGCTCTTGGTAAGAGAGAACCCTGTGGTAGGAGACATTGGGGTCTGCCGAAGCCTGGAGATCCTTTTTGCACCAGCCGACCTCTGGGACCCTGAGTCCCTGGTAAGGCAACATTTTCTCTTCTAGGATCCGCTCCACAGCCTGCACGACCACCTGAGCCTCGGCAGAAGCGCTGTCCATGGCTGACCTGCCCATGACTTGTCCCCGGCCCTGGGATGATGAAGACTTGCCCTTTTGAAGGGAATCTTCCAGTCCTCTGCCTCTACTGGGAAAGAACCACTGGAACAAGTGCATCATCCTTCTCCTGAAGTAGCTTTCCGGAGGCGCCTCTTCCTTCTTCAGCAAGATCTCACAGGCCTTGCTTCCCGAGGTCTCTCCTGACTCCTTGCCCTGGACTGGACGTTTCACCTCACTGATCTGGAGGAGCTTCAGTTCTGACAGCTCTTTGGCAGGCTCTCTCGAGGGGGACCTCCTGGAGCTCTCTCTCACCTCGGGGGTGACACGTGACCTGCTCGGGCTCTTACATTGGTGCTGCAGTCCCAGGTGTCCTGGCTGCCTGTAGGGGCTCTGGCCATGGGATCTTTGGCCATGCAACACCTGGGAAGTAGATGTGTCTTCACTGGACCCGCTCTGGAAGCCAGACAGAGATCCCTGAGAAGCCAAGATGTCGGCAGCGATGGACATGTTGGACTGACAGTCTTGAAGGAGACTCTCAGTCGCACAGTCTTGAAGGAGGACCCCAGTTTCACAGTCTTGAAGGAGCACGGTGGGGGTGGCATCACAAGGCTGGTTCTCTGACTCCATCAACTTCCGGGGCTCGGAACTCCTGTGCCGTGCCTCAAGGCATAGCTCTTTGGGGTCTCTGGCGACCAACTTTGTATGTTGCAGGGGGCTGTCACTTTTCCCTGAAGACCCTGATCTTCTCCCCTTGCCACGGAGGCCTTGGTTGTTGGCCAGCACACGGGGTTCTAAGGTGACTCCCCAGGCAGGGGTCTCCTTGACGTCTCCCACCTCCCCGGGCTCTTTGGCACTCAAATCCTGGGGCTCTAAGTTGAGCTCTAGCATGGTCACGTCCCGTGAGGCCCGACCCCCATTCACCCTCCTTGGCTCCTTTGTGGCCATAGCTGGACTTGGACTTGACTCCAAGTTGCTGTTCTTAAGAGTCCTAGAGGGAGTTTCCCTGTGCCAGATTCTGCCCACAAAGCTGTATGTGAAGGTCCGAGAAGGTGGACTGGCCCCCTGTCCAGCCAGAGGGCCACCCCCAGGTGAGGACCCTTCCAGAGCCTGCTGGATTTCCTCACACGTAGGCTGGGGAGCACCGAGGGCCCTCCCCCAGGTGGGGTAAGACTCTTTCATCACCTCTCCTTGATAGGGCTGAGGAGGATTTCCTAAGAACTTGGTGCCCGAGCCAGCCTTGGATACGCAGGTTGCTGAGCGGGGTGGGAAGGACTGGGAGAGGAGGAAGCCCTTCTTCAACTTGAAGAGGTTTATAGTCTTGAGAACCTTGAGGGGGAGGCCCCACCGGTGCTTCACCCTGAGCCTTATGATATGTGCTTCTAGCATTTGCTGAGCATATGGACTGAGGATGGAAAAGTCGTGGGAGGATTCCCAACACTTGGAAAGCACTGGCTTTCCAGGGTTCCCATGAGGGCTTGGCTTTCCGGGAAGGTCCGAGGCGTGGTGGGCTGCGAGCCTGGAAGGTTGAACATCCAAAGGCATCTGACCCTCTCTGAACTGCCCCAACTTCCTGAAATGGGCTCTCGGGTCCTTCTCTGGGTGCTGCTTCTCTGCGCTGCTTGTGGAGGGCTTCAAGTCTGTTTCTGACTCCTCACGATTTCTTCCTGGAGCCTTCTCTGGAGAGCCCGTTGGGCCCCTGTGTAGATCTTTCCAGATCCTCCCTGTACTGGACCTTGAATCCTTGCCCAGTCTTTTTCCTGGCACGGTCCCTCCTGGGTACCTGGACCCAGTCTTCTGTGTGGCCTGGCAGCTTCTATCCGTAGACTCAGACTCAGATGTGGGACTGTGCCAGCTGTGTGCCTGGGGCACCTTCTGGAACTCTTGGTGAGGCTGTATGTTCAGGGATAGCTGGACCCTGCAGGAAGGGTCCCTTTCTTGCTTCATGAGCCTCTTCCAAAGGTGCCAATCCGGTTGCTCACAGAGCTCAGAGTCGATCAATTCTCCAGGAAGGACAGAGACTGACCTATGGCCCTTGGGGGCTTGGCCACCCTGGGGAAGGCCAGGAGGACCTTGGCTAAAGACTTCCTGAGATCTTTTCACCACAGGGGGTAACTTGCCCCTCTCTAGTTGCTTCTCCAGATAGTGACATTCCAGGTTTTGAACAGCAGATGACATGTAAGACCATGTCTTCTGGGCTACAGGGCAATACACCTCGCAGCTACCCATCTCCGGTGGTAGAGAAGAGTGTCCCACTGGGACAGAGGGTGCAAGGCTTGCCTGGGTCTGGGGCTGAGTTAGAGGTGGGAGCTGGGGCAGGGGCTGATCCAGAGGGAGGGGCTGAGGCTGAGTCAGAGGGAGGGGCTGGAGCAGGGGCTGATCCAGAGGGAGGGGCTGAGGCTGAGTCAGAGGGAGGGGCTGGAGCAGGGGCTGGTCCAGAGGGAGGGGCTGGGGCTGAGTCAGAGGGTGGGGCTTGGGCTGAGTCAGAGGGAGGGGCTGGGGCAGGGGCTGATCCAGAGRGAGGGGCTGGGGCTGAGTTAGAGGGAGGGGCTGGGGCTGAGCCAGAGGCAGGGGCTGGGGCTGAGTCAGAGGCAGGGSCTGGGGCTGAGCCAGAGGCAGGGCCTGGGGTTGAGCCAGAGGCAGGGGCAGGGACTGGGACAATCTCAGGGTCAAGGGTTGGGGCCGGGCCAAAGGGTCATGTAAGTCGTGGGTCAGGGAGAGGCGTGGAGCCACATTGCCCTGAATCTGGAGTGGCAAAGCATGAGAGAGCTCATTGAATATGACAGACGGGAACTCCAGTGGGGGATCGGTCACCCTGACAGTGGCCACCAGGGACTCGCTGTGCAGAAAGGGGAGACCCCAGAAGAGTTGGAGGCATTTCTGCTCCAAATTGTCCCTTGGAATCTTGGGACGTGGGGGCTTGTCAGGACCGAGCAGCTGTTTTGCTTTGCCACTCATGCTCCAGAAGGACGGGCAGCCCATGGTGTCCTGCCCATGACCTGGGGACTTGAACATTCTCCCGAAAGAGGTCAGCTGGTATTTTGACCTTTCTTTCTTTTCCTTCTCCCTCCAAAACTTCAGTTCTTTTTTCTTGGCAATGAGTATCTCCAGAAGCTTCCGGACGTCCGGGTTGATGGAAGGGGGGATCCTAGTCTCTTCCTGTCTGTGTGTGGGGTCTCCCCAGAACAAGGCCACTGGTGGGCCATGGGACAGAGGCGCTTGATGGGACTCCAAGCATGTTGAGGTGGACAGGTTCCAGGCATTGGCAGCCGCCTGACACCAGGACGGGGCTGAAATGGGGCAGCGTGAGCAGCCCAGGCCCAAGATGGCTGGGACAGGAGAAGCTGACCTGTCAGCTGACCGAGGTGTGTGTGGAGCCGAACTCTGTGGGATGGGGCATGGTGGGGGTGCCCTTGAGTCACACTGAGGGAGAGTCAAAGGAGAGTCCGGCCGCTCTGGGGCCAAGGAGGCGTTCAGAGGCCCAGGAGAGGCCTCCGAAGGAGGGAGACATGGCGGGGAAGGGGGAAGAGCAAGTGGCTGGTGTGAAAAGCCATCCGGGGGGAGGAAAGGCTCCGCTAGCCAGGAAGTACTCAGGGAGGAGTGTGAAGCAACAGAAATTGAGGTCATTGGTCCCGCTGGCAGGGTGGAGGCCAGAGGCCGAGGGGACCCCGTCAGTGGAGTTAGGGCAGGTGATGGGGCCACGGTGGGAGCAGCATCTTCCACAAGCTCCCTGCATGGCTGACGGGCTCCAGCTGGCATCCCTTGGCGCACCTGCCCAGGGGCTGCTTGATGTGAGAAGTGGTGAAAGCCCCCCTGGTCAGAGAGCCTCACCAGGTAGCTGTGAGAGACAGGAGGCGCCAGCTGCTGCTGTAGCAGTTGGGGCTGGGAGCGGTCCCCACAGCCCTCCATGCCCCACACCCACATCACAATGCTCCTGCTGTCCCTCAGCCTGGGGCTTTGGTCACAGTCTGTCCCCATGGCTCCGCCCAGCCCCCCTGAACAGCCCCAGAGGCTGTTCCCTGCAGCCCAGGGATCACACCATAGACTCGGGGAGGCCCACCCAGGGGAGAAGGGGGCAGATTCTTTACCTTTGCAGAAGGGAGAACAGGTCCTGAAACTCTTCCAGATAACCCAGAAATTTTCTGAAACCTGGAAACAGGACACTGGGTCACAGCAGAAGGTGGGGTCCAGGGATCTTACGGGAGGCTGGGAACAATGTCTCTTTAGGGGAGACCTTTGGGGGATTGGACTCGGGAGCCCCAAACAGTACTGTTCAAGGCCACATGCCCACATGGGGATTACAGGATTCATGATGGGGATCACTTTGTCTTTTCCGAAGTGCTTCCTTGTTCATGATCTTGCTGGGGGAGGAAGGACCACTTAGCCTCCAGAGGAATCTAAGCAGAGTTGAACAGCTTGTCCACAGTGGGAGCGGGAGGTCCCACCCCCAGTCCAGGCGCTGGGGCCCCTGATGAGCGATACCCATTTCCAGCCCCTCAGGGCTTTGTTCTGGTGCAGAATCTGGGAAGCCTCCGGGTTCACTCTCCCTCCTCGGAGCCCCCAACCCCCACCCAGGGCTCTGTTTCCTGAGGGATGGGCTCAGGCCCTGGTGTCCTGGAGACAGTGGGACTGGGCCTTCAGAGCGGGGGCCACAGTGTAACTGGGGCACGCAGGGGTGAGTGGCGGACACTCACTTTTCAGGGTCTGATTTTTCTTGCTTCTGTTGCTCCTTCTCTGTGGCTCCACTTGGTACTGAGATAAGAGAACACGGGGAGGCTGGGACCCTCACCCCAGCAGCAGATGACCCAGTGCTCAGGGGCCTGACCTCCGCTAGA